CCAAGTGATAAGTAGGGAAGGTCAGCATGCACTGGAAGAAGTGGGTTGTTCATGATTTTTCTATATTCTCTCACTAATGCATCTTGCCTTTGCAAAACTGGCAGTGCTAAATGGCTCAGAACAGGTGGGAGTGATTTTAATGCATCCGATTATAATCCTCATGATGTCAGTAAGTCTGACGTCTATCTTGCTAATACGATAGATAGACAGACAAAAGATAGATGACAGAATGATGTGAAAAAAAGGTTGGAATTTCTGAATGTGTGTGTGTGTACATATATATATATACACACACACACACACACACATAAATATAGTTGCAAAGGATATATAAAGGAAGTGAAAAATAGTTAATTAAAAGAGGCAGAGAAAATGTGAAGTGATTTGGATGGAAATAAAAATTGTTTTGGAAGTAGATGAAAAAGGCTAAAATGGAGCCTTCAGCAGGATGAATGGAATTAAGAATAAAAGTGATAAAATAGTAAAGTGAAAGAATTTTAGAGATTTGAATGGGAATGATAGTGACATGTCAGAGTGAAATTGAAATGAACTACAAGTGTTAGTGTCCAAGAAAAGAACGTTATAAAAAATAAGTGATAAGCACTGTGAGAATGCTGAAAAATTGTAAGGCTGCAGGTATAGATATTGTAACTAGCAAAACATTGAACTTTGGACATGCTTTGTTTATGAATGGCAGTGCAATTTCTTTAACATGTGTGAAGGCTGTATCTGTGCCTGAAGAATGGAAGAATGCCTTTATTGTTCCCCTCTACAAAAGGAAAAATAACAAGATTAATGTAAAAATTACAGATTAGTATGCTAAGTGTGTTTGGGAAGGTGTTTGGCAAAATTCTGATTGAGCAAATGAGTAAAATTTGGGAAGTGCCGAGTGGCTTTATGTCTGGCAAGGATGCGCAGGCCAGATCTGAGATGGTTTGATCATATACAAAGAGTGAATGAGGATCAAATTGTACAACAAATATATGAAGAAAGAGTGAGTGGAATGAGAGGAAGAAGACCAAGAACATTGTTTGTGTGTGGAATTTATAAGACCCTTAAAAACATAGTAGTGAGAAATTTAAAGAACAAGAGATCGTCTGTGAATTACTATGTAGATGTGATAAAAACTAGGATGGTTTGGAAAAACAGAAATGTGTTGAGAAGTATGAAAGATGTTGGTATACAGTAACTAGATTTAGATACATTTCTTTTTTATTGACTGATATCGTTAATTTTCTTTTATTTAGTATTTCTTAGTTCTCCACCTTGCATAAGAGTCTTTATCCTGAAAGAGAATGGCATGATGGGTATGTATATATGTATGCTTAACACTATATTACAGCTTCAGGTCCAGCTCTGATTGGAATGATCAGATTGTATCTTGAACATTTTTCAACCAGTAAGATATACTTTGCTGAAGCATATTTCCTTGCTCTACAGCTAGCCCTCCTCAGTTTGTGTCAGTGGAGGAACTGATGGATACAGCAAAAGGTGTTACAAACATGGCCTTAGCCCATGAGATTGTTGTCAATGGAGGTTTTCAGATTAAGCCAGCTGACTTGCCAGAAAACAGGTAAGAGGCTTGTTATCATGGGTTGAAAAAACCTAGGGCTAGAATATAGTTCATCTCTTAAACAGAAAGAGGCATGACCAGTGGCTCCAAAAGTGAGGTCACTACTGCAATTAAGAAGTAGATTTCCAACAACTGCCCACCTAGCAGTTCGAAAACACACCATCTGCGAGTAGATAAATAGGTATTCCCATTTCAGTGGGAGGAAACGCTGGCGGCACTTTGTGCGGGGAAGCTGGAACCGGTGCTGGACCCGATCGGCAGAAAAAATGCCGGACGCTGGACGCAACTGATGCGATGGGCGGAAAAGATCATCGGTGGAAGAAAGCCCGGATGAGCTGACTCCCTTGCGACCGCTGCTGGCCGCAATAGAGTAGGGCTGTAATTGTAATTGTAATTGTAAT